AACGATTTAATAACTTAATAGCCTGAAGCTTAAAGTGTTTATGGGTGAGCAATTCAAAATATTTGCCTTGGTTACACGATGAATTTCATTGGTAATTTGTAAGGATCTTCAGTTAACCAATAAATGTACCCCTTGGGAAGGGGAATTACAAGTGAATATGGATTGTAAGGACAAGCAGGCGGCTGGGATTGTGGAAAAGCTAGTCAAACTGGTTGGCATATAAATTTTGCGGTCGGCGGCCATAAATCAGCGTTTGGCTGTCACCCATTTTGCCATTTTGCCAGTGTAAGTCGCAGGACTCGCTCTTCCCCTTTCCCCTTTCCGCTTTTCCCCTTCCCTCTGTCTAAGGTCCTTGCCTCCGAAGGCTGCTCTCTTTAACTGGTCATTAATTACAAATTATATGCCACTCCTGGCGGCAGGAACAAAATCCTTCTGGGCTGTCAGCTGTCTTGCGAGTGTCGTCCGACACACAAATTAATGTTGACACTGTCGCCAGGTCCTTCGCACTGCGGGAAAATTTTTATTTAATTGCTGACTTGTTAGGAATTAAAAGTAAGATATATTTTTTATACATAATGTTATGTAGAAAATATATATGGAATGCATATTTTTTCAATTTGCGGCTTTGTATATTAAATCATAATTGATTTTTTAATTTTCTTACATTTTTTATAGTTGCAAGAACGCTGAAAACATAAATGAACTAGTAGTTTCAGAATAAGTATCAGAAGTAAGTGGAAGTTCTAAATTAATTTTCGTCATACGTTCCGTAGAAAGAAACTATTAAAATAATAATTTTAAAAGGTATTTCCAGTGAGGTATTTAGCTGTGTAATAGCATAATATAAGCATTGTTAATTCTTAAATTAATTTTTTTTATGTTAAAGTTGTTTATAAAAATAACAAGGGAGTGCTTAGTTCTAGCTGCTAGTGCCTGCCTATGAAATCACATATATTTTTTGAATGTTTTATTATAATAAAGTAAATAATTATTAAGGATAGGTAGAGGTCATATCTGATTACATGATTGGAAGTATGGATTTCAGATAACTATTAAAATAGATTAAGAGATTTAAATTATTTTCTAAACCCAGCACATTTTCCCTGTGTAGTTCTTCAGATTGCGGAGTTGAGTGGCGGCTTCGTTAGCGATGATGAAGCCGCCGCTGCACTTCAAAGACGCATTAATAATTAATAAGATTGTAGCCGGGGCAAAAAACTGCCGGCCGGGCGAGTTACTTGACTCAGGTTGCTACTTGGCCACTTGGCAGCTGCCAAAGGATCTCCGTTCCTGCCAACCTCCTCCTCCAATCCTCAAATCCTTCGCCCGCTCCAAGTGCTTGGGTATGCAAATATTTGGCCCCCTTCCACCGACTCGCTCCGCTCGCCGCCGCAACGCACTTACAAATTCCGTTTCAAATTCAGAAAAGTCATTAAATAATTTTCCACACTTGCACTTAACGCCTGCCTAGGTGGGTGGAAAAAAGGGGACAAGGGGGCGGAGTGGGCGGCAGACACTGGTCGGGGTCTCATGCATGTGGATAATGACTGCCAAGGCAATTTGATGTATAAACAAAATACTGCCGGGCTTTTCCTGCATTCCCCACTGCACTTGGTGCCACAGACGGCAACTGAAATATGAAATGTGTTTGTCTGAATGCCAGAATTTATGTGTAGCAATCCACTCAGTCGGATAAGTGGGCCAAAAAGGCGTTCCCAACATCTTTGGATATTTACACGGAGAAAACAAAATTAATGAGACTACTTTGGAGCAATTTGTTCTATCCGAGGTGTCATAGAAATCTCAGGGTAAATAGGTGCATATATTATTCAAAAATTGGTTAATAATACCCACATATACTATTTAAATAGATCTGATGAGTTAAAAATGTTTAAAAACTGTTAAGAAAATGAGAAATCAATTTAAGAGGGTTTTAAAAATATTATGCTTCTCTGATCAACATCATTAAATCACAGATACCACAAAGGTAAAGACATTCAAATGATTTCAATTAAATGCTAACAATACAATTTGTGAAAAAATATGAAGTCTACAAAAAAAGAGGAGTAATGTTTGTCAAGTCAAAAGTTGGATTACATAAAAAAGTCCAGACTTTTGATTGTTCAGCATTTTTAAACGTATTTACTACGGATTAACAGTTAAAAAAATATTAAACATGACATAGGATTCAAAGTGTTTGCGCTTTTAAATCCAATAAGTTATTATTTATGGAATATTTGCTTCTCTGTGTATGAGAATGTTCTACTCCAATAACCATTCAATCAATATGTGCTTTTTGAGTAATTTTAATTAAATCGCAATTGCTAGCCATTTAGTAATTTGCTTGTCAATAAGACCAGAGCCATTGAAATGCCAAAGCCACTTGAACAAAAGGGCGTGAATAAGTCCTGAATGGGGCTAATGTAATGCCAAACGAGAAGTGGCAGGCTCAATTCGAAGTGGAAGGAAAAACGAAGGCAAGGACACGTCCTGCCGAGAAGAACTCAACCAACATTTCCGGCTCGATTGCGGCTTATTTGATTTTCATTAGGCATAACTCAATTTGAAGCAAATAAAATGCGCTCAGCCGCAGATGAGCTGCTTATACAATAACAGCAGGCGGATCCGGATCCGGAGTGGGGGGAAATGGAGCCGGACAAACCAGGAGAATAAAGCCAACGGAAACGGAGATGAGGGCAGACAAGAGGGTCCAAGGGGAAGAACCCGGCCAAGTCCCAGTTCCCAGTCATGGTCGAAATCGGAGGCCGGCTGAGGAACTTCCCGACCGCCAAGTGAAGATGATAAAGTTAAACTACAAGCCACACGAACAATGGGGTTCTTCAGGCTGCCTCGGAATTGGGAAAATCAAGTAAAAGCCAACCTTTTGATTTCACTTCCTGTTAATATTGTCTGTAAGGATACGGTGGTTGGGGAGTGAGCAGTAATGGGAAGGGTCTAGGTGGATGTACCTAAGTAAAATGGAGGTATTTTAGAGGTCTTAAGTATCCTTTAAATCTTTGTTTGACCAAGGGCCAATAAAAGTTTTTTTGTGGGTTAGTACTGTTTATATTAATCGATAAGAATAATATAATGACAAGAATATATACAAATTATTTTTCAATACGTTTTTTAAATATATTTAGAAACCAAAGTTGTACTTAAGTATTAAAGAGTATAAAAGAATACCGTATAAGGGTGTATAGTTTTAATACTACTTAGACTTATCAAGTAGTACCCTTACCATCACTGAAAAGGATTGGCATCTGGGATTCCAGAGCGGGGAATGCTGAACCACAATCCAAAAGCATAAGTAACTTTGGCAGCCGATTAAGGTGAGATGCCGAGCCATGCAAGCTGAATCTCAATTCAGGACCTAATCAGCTCTGTCTGCCTGAGTGGGGGAGCTTTCCCCAACTAGCTAGTGTGGGTCTGGGTGTCCTGCCTAACACCCTGGGGAGATCATTATATCGTCGGTTTAGTCCCAGTGCAAAGTTTCCTTACCTTTCGACTTCTTAGCCCCGGACGGCTGATAAAGTATTTATGAGCCACACACATGTAGGCAGTTGAGTCCGTCGAATGTGCAGGTGGCAAACACTGAACGATTTCGGATTTAAATAAAAAGTAGAAACTTAAAAAAATGGATGGGAATACTCAATGAAAAATATTGTAAAACGGAAAAGATACAAAAAAATGTAGCTTATAAATATTTTTAATGATCTGATATTTAATAAAATGATCTAACTGATTATAATATTTTGAAAGAAACGATGTTTTCATTATTTCTAAATACTATACTATTTATATTATACTATATTATATTATAAACTATTCATTTATTTTTGAATTATTCAAAAACATTTAAAAATGCATTTTGTAAAGTGCCCTGATATATTTTTGACCTCAGTTTAGTCTGCTGATCAACAGCAAAATAACTCCTGAGCAGCTTTCATGGAATACGCATATACGAACATAAGCATCCGTTTTAGTTATGCTGAAAAGTGCTTATAAACTTTGCACTCATTGTTCTAGTCTCTTCAAATCCTTCGGGTTCCAGCCGGTTGTTTTTCCCCACGCAGTTTTCCCGTTTTCCCATCAGCCCCGGCCCCTTTCCGAGGGCAATCCCAAGACCAGACAACTTTTGGCCGACTTTTATTTGAGTTTTCCTTCACCTTACCAGAACCCACGTTTGGCGTAAGCTCGGTTTTCAATTTCATTATTTTTGCCCATGCTGGTTTCGATTGTTGGCATTGTTGTTGCTGGCAGTGCTTCCTTTGTTTGCGGTAAACATTTATGTATTATTTTGTGATATCATCAGTAAATATTTTCTCATTTTATTAAACTCGAGCGGGGTGAAGGGTTACGGGGGGAGGGGGGGATAAGAAAGTTAAATGTCGAAAGTGGTTGGCAAAGTTCTGGCCGACTTTTGTGGATGAAAGTAATAGAGTTTTGCGTAAGCTTTAACTTGTTTTGTTGGCGCTGTTCTGTTGTGTGTGCACTAATTAAATATTGAAAAAGAGCAAAGGCATCTTGAAGATAAATCTGTTAAGTGGAGGCAATTAAATCAAAACTAAATGCCGCCTTTCAGCATGCCAAAGCCATTTATAAAAACGAGCAGACAAAGGCGACAGGGAGGTATACTCGGTCTCCTTAAGAAGAACCACTGAAGCGCCCAGTTTGCAAACCGCGGAACCACTGCGGAACCCACCCAAAAACCATCCACCCACAGGCACTTGCACCCACAAAACCATAAAACAAAAGCCCGAACAAAAGCTAATTAAGTTTATGTCACCGGAAATTTGTTTCACCTCAAAAACCTCGAATTGTGTGGAACAGGAGGTGGATCAGGAGCAGGAGCATCCGGAGGAGCAGCAGATAAAATGTACGTGGCCCCGTTTTAGGATGTCACACGGAGCGCAACGTCGACGCAATGGAGCGCGGATAAAAGGGGCTCCGCGGCTCTGAAAAACTTTCATCTCGAACTTGTACACACTCATTGGCAATTAATCTGCACGCCGGCTAAGACAAATGTAATGTGGAGTGAACATTTGTTCCCTCAGCGACTGCCATTGCAATTCCGGTTCTGCACCCAGGAAAAGGACTTTAGTTGGTCCTGGCACCCCGGTAATTCGGTAATTCTCAGCCTCCATACTGTAAAAAAAATATATCGAAATATTGCATTCGGTATTCATAGGTTTTAATAGGACATTTTGAACATCGAATGGTCTGTGATGAGCAAACACACATTTCTGACTTATGGCTAACAGAAGTGAAAGTGTTTTAAGTTGTGTTCTTGAACCCATTTAATATAAATATAATATTTTATTACAAATGTAAGGGTAAATATAGGTTAACATATCTAATATATGTTTCAGAGCTTTATAGATTGTTGTCTAATTTTATAGTTATAGATAAAAATAGTTTTTTTAGTATACTAAACTTATTAATAAAATGTTTAGTTAATATAAAATCGCCTAAGAATGTTTACCTTTAAAAACACTATATCAAATATATATTTTTTAGCAAGGGCCTACATAACATCTATTTTTTCTCAGTGCAACAGGCTGCAGAAGCGGTCACGCTAATGAATTGATTATCTTAATCCGAATGGGCGTAAACCCCAGTCCATTGTGCATAACTCGAAGACGTTGGGTGTCAACAAGAATTATTAGCTTGTCTGGACTGTCGGCCTGCGGCGTGTTAAGTTGATTTACGAGCCGTTTGCGGCCACCGAGCTTGAAGCCCGGCGCTCGAAGCTTGAAGCCTGACGCTTTATGGCCGATTTTTATGGCCTTTGCAACTTTGCAAGTGCAGCGCCCGAAACTTATGCGCCATATAACCGAAAAGCGAACGATTGCACTCTGAACTTTGCTCTGTTCTGCTTTCTACCGTTCGAGGTTTCTGCATTTTTTCTAGTCTTTCGGTGGCAACTTCTTGCACCTTGTGCACATTGTCATTTGGCCAATTACATGGTGGCTTCTCGCTGCTGCACTTCGAGAAATGCATGGGGGAATTTTAAATTAAAATGTATTGATATTTTTTATTTTTTAAAAATATGAGTTATAATAATGAAAGGTAATGATACATTTTTACATAGAGAATATTTTTTACCTTCATCTTATCCTTGTAAAGTTACGAGGTTTCTAACATCATATTCTTGAACATTATCTTTTTCCAATCTTAAGATATTTTTAGAGATTCTTAAGATAGGACTTATGTTACAATAAAATTTCTTGATGTTTTTGAGGGAGTATTTTTAATATTTTAGTGACTGTATAAATATTTTATATTTTTAAGTTTGGTTGAGACAAAACCTTTATAATCGGACACAGAAAAATTAGTGCTTGAACTAGAATCCATTTAAAATTAAATGTATCCTTTTACTCACCACAATTGTTTTTTTTATTTTACTTACATTTTTCTTTGAAATCAGATGGATTGAAACAAGCGTTTTTTATGACTTTCGATAAACAGACCTATTATTTTGCTCAGTGCATTTTCGCCAACGTTAGCTTCCCTTGGTGGCTGAGCTTTAAATGGGCGTGGACAAGCGCACACTTGACGCTCTATTGACGATGTAGCCAAGCTCCCCCTCAAGTGTGTACTTATGATTCCTCCCAAAACGCCCCCAATTCCCGCCTCCGATTTTTTTCCTTTTTCTTTTTTTTTTTTTAGAAATTTTCAGTTTGCGTTACTTTGGCAAGTTTTCCGGTGTCGCTTTTTGCACCTCGATGACTGTTGGCGGCTGTCGATGTCGTTGTCGTTGTCGTTCAGGTTGTTTGTAGTTGTTGGCGGTGTGGCGCCGCCCGCTGTCAACAACTCAAAATGCTTCCGTGCAATCGCTTTTTACAGCTTCCGAACAATTTGATTTGATTCCATTAAAAAAGTTCCTCTAGTGATTTCCGTCAAGTTCTCACCTCTCATCGCGCCGCATGTGAAGTTTGCAGCCGTTGCAACGGATACGACATCACTTGAAAAAAGTTACATCCGCTAACGATATGATGCTATAAAATCATCGAACAAAAAGTCGGTTGCGTGTAAAACGTTTGGAAACTATTTTCCTATGTGATTTTTAGTAATTTTATTTTTTCTGAATGTCAAACTTTTATTTTTAGTATTTTCAATTTAAATATGTATCTTGTTTTAATTATAAATAATTAAATAGCAAAATTATTATAGGATAATGCTTTTATTATAAACGAAAATTGTTTTTTTACCCTGTTCATTTTCTAGGTAGTGTAATTTATTTTAAGGACTTAGAAGGTAAAATTTGATTAAATTTGTCTTAATATAGAAATATTTTAACATTGCCCTGAAAAAATGTATAAGACTATGTAACATTTATTCCTGATGAGCTGAAATATCTTAAGTATAGTGACAATTTATGATTTCAAAGCTTCAAAATCTCGTATAAAAAATACAATAAAATATTTTTAAGTGCAAAATCAACCTTCCTGCTCTTCTGGACTTCCTGTTCGAAGACTGTTTCATAAGCCATGGTATTTGGTTGAGTGGAGCGAGGGGGCTTGCCTAAATAATTGTGACATTGGCACGTCAGCATCGTGCAACGCGCGTCGAGTGTTGCATACTTTTAAGTACACCCCTGGCCACCCACTTCCACCCCCTGCCGCCCACCGCCCCCTTCAAGGACTCATCGCCGGCGACGATGCATGTCATTTGCTGGCAGATTGACAAACTTTGGTGCGTTCTTCGGGGGCGTGAGTGTGATGAATATGGCAGCTTCGGCGTGTAATGTCAACTTGCAACTTGCACTGATGCCAAGCAATTTCAATTGACGACACGAACGACGGCAATTGCCGGCTTTAAAGGGATAAGGCGACATAATGATGGAGCATAAGGGTGGCCGGAATTGTCATAAAAACGGTTTGGCATCGCGGCAGTCGTAAAACCTTAACCCTTGGCAAAGATAGTTATAATTGCAAAGCGGGAGTTGTTAAACTTGAAGTCGATAAAAAATGTGAGACCACAAGATGGGAAAAAACAAAAGAAACGACTGGAAGAAGTGCTGCCAAAGCTAGATAATAAAATAAGGTAAAAAATAAATAAAAAATGAAAAAAATACGAAGTTTTCTAAGGTCATAGCTTTAAGTGCTAACTTTTAATGAAGGAAATATTAAAAGAATAAAATTGTTCAATTAAAAAAAAATTGCTTTTTAGGAATATTTAACATTTTAAAAATTAACTAGATGTCCCATCTTGTATTCAGTTTCATCCACTTGGAGGACATGTAACAACTTTTCGTGTATGATCCCTTTCACAAAAAATAAACAGATCTGTCCTGCGGAGAGACAACCATTGGCAGCACTGTTTTTAGAGGGTTACCCAACTGACATTTATGCAAATCGCAATTCGGGTTAACAACGTCAGCAGTCAAGGGGTGTAATGTTAAATATAAAATTTACTATGCCAGCTGTTGCCGATTGTCGTCATTCGGTCGCTTATGGAATTTAAGCTCTGCAAATATGCATTTAACACACTTCGGCGTGTCGAGATGCGGCAACAGACTGCCCGACCTACGTATTCGTATACGTATGTATAAATAAAAATCGCCAGCAGCTGTTGGACGGACGGACGGATTGGGTTTCGGATGGTATGGTATGGGATGGATGGTTGGATGGATGGATGGTTACTAGGGACGAGGGACGTGGGGCAGTGCAGTGCAGTGCGGCATTTTGAGGAGCATATGAAAAGTTTGGATCCCATGTTGTCGCATGGAATTTATGATGAATTTTCCAACTCGACGCATATTGCAGAACATTTTTGGGTCCGTTCGGCCTAGGCCTGATTCATTCCTCCTCCCCCGCCTTTTTTGGGGGCCTTTCACCATGAACTGCAACCACAGCAGCCGCAACGCAGGCAGATCCCGAACCAGAACCAGAAACAGGCAGCATTTGGTCCATGGCTTGTTCCTGGCTTTCTCTTTTTTTTTTTGTTTTTTGTTTTTAACTGAATCCAACCCAATCCCCTGGCCACCCCCAGCTTTTGATGTTTCCAGTTTGGCCCGCTGCTCGGTTGTTCGGCCACATGACGTAGTCCTCGTCCTCGTCCTGCATCCGAAGTCCAGTGTCCTGGGTCCAGAGTCCTGAGTCCTCCGTCCATCGTCCTGAATCCTGCAGCTGCCCAAGGGTGCGTACTCTGAAATTGTTTTAGTGCTGTTAGAAAATTTCGAATGCGATTTGACATGTATAAAGCAGTGAGTGCGGAAAGGCCAACGGCGGGACTGCCGCTAACAAATTCTGTTAGAATGAAATGGAGAAACCATCGCGCTCCGGAATTAGGCACTTGTCTAACTTTGTTTTGTAAAATCTTTTGGCATTCGGAACTATATATTTAATAGTTCCAGGAACAAAACTAATTAGCAAAAATAACACAATGGTACGTTCATTAAGGGGTTCTTCTTACCAATTAATTGTTAAATGTATAGTTTTATTTTCAGCAAGCACGGTAATTTCTAAATACAAAGAGAAATACCTTTGCCCTAAGGTAATACCTTTGGTATTTGGTATAGTGGCACTTCAATTGGATTTTACGTTTTGAGGTAAGCTTAAATCTTCTCTCCCCTTTACCAAAACGTTTGCATAATCTCTTGATCTTCTGAGCTTATATCAAATTGATAACTACAATTATTCAGGTGATTTGAGTAGTTATAGATAACTTCAAAGATTTAAAAGGCAACACAAATGTAGGCACTGGTAAGTAGATGTTTAAACAGCAAAGTAAAGTATTATAGTTCAAACGTGTATGGCAAACGAAAAAATATAAAAATATTATTTTATAAAGATACCAACATTTCTTATAAAACAACATCTAATAAATAAGGACTCCGCATTTATCAAAAAATAATAGGTTGGTTTATGTTCCCACTTTGCAAACCCAATCTGCTTGCTTATTCCACTCGATACCGAGACTCCGGCTCCTCCATATTATAATGCCATTGAACAGGCCATAATCATAATCATAGCATTTATCTAATGTGCCAGGGAAAATATTTGCCCATTTAATAAGGGAGCTCTTTGCCTGTGGCGGCCATTGACTAGAGTAGCTACGAAGCGACTTCCATCCCAAAACCCTAACCCAAATCCAGATACAGATACAGCTGCCAGCCAAAAATGAAGCTGAAATGCGAACGATGCCGGGCGCAAACAAGTCGCAAATTGAATTGATTGGCGGGTAAACAAGCGTCGACCCGGTTGCCACGCCCACAAAAAATAAGGGGGGCGAGTAAACAGATCCCGGAGCAGAACATAACCAGAATCGGGCCAGGGCTAAAACTAAAACCACAGGCCCTAATTGAGCGTGAACATAGAGGGCATAATGCGCGGCCAAAAAGCGGACTTCAATTTTGGATAAGAAGCTCCGAGCTGGAACTGCTGAAAATTTGCAATTAGCCCGACCGCAAAAACGGAATGGCCAAGCAAATTGTCAAAGAGCCGGTGAAATTGTTTACAAACCAATTACGAAACAGCGAGCCTCAGACAATGGCAACAGATTTCCAGCCAGCTGACCTTTGAACCCAAAAACCCAACTGCTCGTTTTGGCCCTTCGGGCGCAGCTGCTCGAAAGTAAAATCCAGCGGAGCGCCAAAAATTACGTTATCTTAATGAGTTTAAACGTTAATCAGGCAAAGCGAAGTCACCGAAAAAGCGCGGGAGGATGGCCGGAAATGGTGGCCATTTTGCTGGCCACCTCAGTTGGCCAGTGGGCTAAAAACCCAAAAAAAAGACAGAAGCAGTTGCCAAAATTGCCGGCTGCGGCAAACGGAAGTCGAAGAGTCGGGCAAAGTCGAAAGTCCGAGGCGGCACGGATGCATATTAAATTAATAATTTGACCTCATCCTGTGACTCTGCCACAAGCTCTAGCAAACTCGACTGGGCTAATTTCTGCATCCGCCCAACGAGATTTTTGTTTGCTGATTGCGACAAGGACAACATGGTTGCGGGGGCCATGTTGCGCTAATGTTTCACCCGAGTCTGGGGGGACCCCAGAACCCCAGAACCCGAGAACCCCAGGACTCGGATTCAGAATCAGATTCAGAACCCCTTCCCAAGACACCGAGAAAAGTGAGAGATAAACAATTAAAAACTTTTGCAATTTGCGGTAATTCCACTCTTAACCCCTTTGGACGCCAAGTGCGCATAACAAGTAGTTGTAGCGTGGGATTGGGAACATGGTTCACAGTGAATCGGGCTGGGACCAAACATATGCTCTCCAAAACGACAAATATTAGGTTCTACAATATGTTGAAAATTTGTTCTAAATTTGTTTCATCAAAAAATTTTAATTTTGAATATAATTGATAAGTTATATGTAATAAAACACACTGATTCTTTTAGGTCTAAGAAATGGAATTCAGATTTTAGTCAAAAAGACTAACCTTTTTTAGCGGTTTTTCAATCGCAGCTCAGAAAAATCTAGTCGCAGAGCTAAAAGATCAACTGTTTTGGGCGGCTTGCTTCTTATGCTAATAATCGCCATTACTTTAAAGAATATTTATTTTTTGACCAATTTTAGCATTTTTTTAAGCGAAAAATGACAAAAATAAAAAATTTCTAGGCTTTTTTTCGAAAAATGGCAAAAATTTAGTAGGGGTTACATCACTTTTTTTCGAAAAATGGCAAAAATTAAAAATTTTCAGGTTGAATTGCCAAACGATTGGAAATTAAGCAACGATCTCAACGAGGTATGACATTCCTCATTCTGACTTATATTTTTGTTATGGCAGCCAAAAAACTGAATTTTTATGGCGAAAAAAGGGTTAAAACTTTTGTCAAAAATACAAAATTCAGATTTTTTCAAAAATTCGAAATTTTTTTCCGGTTTTTTCATCGTAGTTCAGCCAAATGAAGGCGTACAGCTTAAAGACCAACTGTTTTGAACAGCTTGCTAAATTTGCTAACGATCCTCATCACTTTTTGGAAAATTTATTTTTTGACCAATTTTCTCAGTTTTTGTAGGGGTTACATCAGTTTTTTTCGAAAAATCTCAAAAATTAAACATTTTCAGGTTGAATTGCCAAACGATTGGAAATTAAGCAACGAGCTCAACGAGGTATGACATTCCTCATTCTGACTTATATTTTTGTTATGGCAGCCAAAAAACTGAATTTTTATGGCTAAAAAAGGGTTAAAATTTTTGTCAAAAATACAAAATTCAGATTTTTGTCAAAAATTCGACATTTTTTCCGACTTTTTCATCGTAGTTCAGCCAAATGAAGGCGTACAGCTTAAAGACCGACTGTTTTGAACAGCTTGCTAAATATGCTAACAATCCTCATCACTTTTAGGAAAATTTATTTTTTGACCAATTTTCTCAATTTTTGTAGGTGTTACATCAATTTTTTTCGAAAAATCTCAAAAATTAAACATTTTCAGGTTGAATTGCCAAACGATTGGAAATTAAACAACGAGCTCAACGAGGTATGACATTCCTCATTCTATCTTATATTTTTGTTATGGCAGCCAAAAAACTGAATTTTGATGGCGAAAAAAGGGTTAACATTTTTGTCAAAAATACAAAATTCAGATTTTTGTCAAAAATTCGACATTTTTTTCCGGCTTTTTCATCGTAGTTCAGCCAAATGAAGGCGTACAGCTAAAAGACCGACTGTTTTGAACAGCTTGCTAAATATGCTAACAATCCTCATCACTTTTAGGAAAATTTATTTTTTGACCAATTTTCTCAATTTTTGTAGGTGTTACATCAATTTTTTTCGAAAAATCTCAAAAATTAAACATTTTCAGGTTGAATTGCCAAACGATTGGAAATTAAACAACGAGCTCAACGAGGTATGACATTCCTCATTCTAACTTATATTTTTGTTATGGCAGCCAAAAAACTGAATTTTGATGGCGAAAAAAGGGTTAACATTTTTGTCAAAAATACAAAATTCAGATTTTTGTCAAAAATACGACATTTTTTTCCGGCTTTTCATCGTAGTTCAGCCAAATGAAGGCGTACAGCTAAAAGACCGACTGTTTTGAACAGCTTGCTAAATATGCTAACGATCCTTATCACTTTTTGGAAAATTTATTTTTTGACCAATTTTCTCAATTTTTGTAGGTGTTACATCATTTTTTTTCGAAAAATCTCAAAAATTAAAAATTTTCAGGTTGAAATGCCAATCGATTGGAAATTAAACAACGAGCTCAACGAGGTATGACATTCCTCATTCTGACTTATATTTTTGTTATGGCAGCCAAAAAACTGAATTTTTATGGCGAAAAAAGGGTTAAAATATTTGTCAAAATACAAAATTCAGATTTTTGTCAAAAATTCGACATTTTTTCCGGTTTTTTCATCGTAGTTCAGCCAAATCAAGGCGTACAGCTAAAAGACCGACTGTTTTGAACAGCTTGCTAAGTATGCTAACGATCCACATCCCTTTTTCGAAAATTTATTTTTTGACCAATTTTCTCAATTTTCGTAGGTGTTACATCATTTTTTTCGAAAAATCTCAAAAATTAAAAATTTTCAGGTTGAAATGGCAATCGATTGGAAATTAAACAACGAGCTTATCGAGGTATGACATTCCTCATTCTGACTTATATTTTTGTTATGGCAGCCAAAAAACTGAATTTTTATGGCGAAAAAAGGGTTAAAATATTTGTCAAAATACAAAATTCAGATTTTTGTCAAAAATTCGAAATTTTTTCCGGTTTTTTCATCGTAGTTCAGCCAAATCAAGGCGTACAGCTAAAAGACCGACTGTTTTGAACAGCTTGCTAAGTATGCTAACGATCCTTATCACTTTTTGGAAAATTTATTTTTTGACCAATTTTCTCAATTTTTGTAGGTGTTACATCAATTTTTTTCGAAAAATCTCAAAAATTAAACATTTTCAGGTTGAATTGCCAAACGATTGGAAATTAAACAACGAGCTCAACGAGGTATGACATTCCTCATTCTAACTTATATTTTTGTTATGGCAGCCAAAAAACTGAATTTTGATGGCGAAAAAAGGGTTAACATTTTTGTCAAAAATACAAAATTCAGATTTTTGTCAAAAATTCGACATTTTTTTCCGGCTTTTTCATCGTAGTTCAGCCAAATGAAGGCGTACAGCTAAAAGACCGACTGTTTTGAACAGCTTGCTAAATATGCTAACGATCCTTATCACTTTTTGGAAAATTTATTTT